TTACTTTTTGCACTTTCCCAGATGCTACTGTCAGTAAGGGGACACCTTCTATATCCTGATCTGGATATAGAAAAAAATTAATATCCCGATCGGAATATAAAACACGAAATTTCGTCGTAAAAACGATTAAGGAAAAAATGACGACGGTGTGGGGAATAATTGACTTCACTATTAAAAAAAGGTCGAAAAACTACATCGACTTCTGTTGTGTTTGATCAAAAGTGTATGACGCTACCAGCAACTATTTTTTCGAATACAAATTTTTAACAAATTTTAGTTGAATTTATATCCCGATCGGGAATAGGCGGTTAATCTTTTATTGTTCATAATGGGATGTACTCTTGATCAAAGCTTTCCACATCGACTGTCTTTTTTTATTTCTTCCTTTTCGATGTACACATATATTGAAACACAATTCTTTTCTCATGCGTCGACAATATATAAATATACGTGCTTTGTGTTTAACGGAGAATTTTCCAACCATTCATTCTTGCAGATAAACTGCCTTATGCTTTTTATAAAATCACAACTTGCTGTATCTTTTAAAACGTATATCAGTCGTGAAGCCAGCATTTCTGAAGATGCCAAGAGAACATCATTATTCCAGGCTTTGCGTCATTTATACTCATATTGCCCAACACGGCAACACTCCTTACAAACTAATTAGATTTGATGAGAGACATGTTAATGTGGAAGTAAGAAATTACATTAACTAATAATTGTCTATAAGAGGGCTCTTGAGAAAATCTCTGCCATTCGGTAACGTTGCTAACTGCAGGAAGGTCTGCGAAATGTGTGAATTGCTAGAAGATAGCTCAGTAGTCTGCTTGCTGAAATCAAAAATTCATTTTTGCTTCACGGAGTAGTAAGGGTACATTTCCGTTTTTTTTCACTTGGCAAATCGAGAGCAAAAGTGTGATTAAGTTCAAATTCCTATACCAGACAGTAAGGGAACACCTCCTATATCCCCGTCAGAGAGGTGAATAAAGAAAGAATATTCAGCTATCATATAATTCAAATTTATCGTTTTCTTACAAATTAAAAATTAGAATTTTTCATATTTTGGTTGGGATATAGATGTTTTTGATATCTCAATGGGAATATCAAACTATATCCTGATCGGGATATAATTTCAAACTATATCTTGTTCGGGATATAAAAAAAAATTTGCTGTAAAAAATGATATCCCGATCGGGATATGTCTCCACACTAACTGTAATACTATGGTACTAAGGTACTACAGTAGCATCGACTTCCAACAACCATGGCTAAAGAAATTCACACTATCTATCTAGTCATTCTTAAAAGCAATTAGTTACGTGAAAGTGGAAATCATCTAATTTATTTTAATATTAAAAATTATTTCTGTTTCATTCAAAAGTTTTGCAGCACATAATTTAATAAAAAAGTTTCAAAAAACCTGAATTTTGCCATGATCCAAGCATTTTTTCAAGTACTAACAAAAATTTCCAAATATATCGAATAAAACTTGGAACATTCCACTATACAACTTAAAAATAACCTTGAGGTTTAGTTAAGAAATGATGAAGATACTCAACACTATTTTTGGTGCGAATTTAAGGAACATCTGGTAGGTGTGAATCGGAAGTTGTAGACTTCCTTGTAGTTTCATTCTTTCAGTTTAGTGCTTATCTATTTCTTTAGCAGTCATTGTTCTTCTCTCTATTGTATGTTTTGTCTGCCAGATGATCGTTATCTATATCGACGTTTTAATCTTAAAGAAATAAGTACAGTTTATTTCCGCTTATTTATTGCTGAGTCTACTTTTATGCTAATATAGTTTATTGATTAAAAAAAAGATCTGATTAATCGACTATTAATTTGAATTCTAAATCATTCAAAATTTAATTTAAAGTTATGATATTTTTTAATAGAGTTCAATGTTTCAGTGGGTGTTTGAAGAAATATCTTGAAAATAACTTGGTGGAATTTTTGAGTTAATTAACCACAAATTAAGTTAACATTCTATAAATATTTTTATCAATTGTTTGATCTTAGTCAATACAACATTCAGTGGTTCATTGATTACCAAAATAGTTCAACTCAGATTTCAAAATTTTGTGTATTTTTTCCAAACATAAAAACTATAATAGAGAAAACCAGCGAATGATCAATAGTAAACGTTACATCTTAAAATGAGTATGCGAGAGTCAAAGATGAGTTCATAGAACAATAAAGATCGTTACAAAAAATGATAGAAAATGTGAACAATAGCACACTAGAAACAAACCTTGATACTGTCTACTATTGAGAAACTAACTGTAATTTATTATCTAAATCATTTAATTGTTTAGTAGAGTAGAACTATAGAATTTTTATTGACGTTGAATCAGACAATTATTTAACCGAATCATTCTTGCAATATTGTCAATAGAATTTCTAATACATTCATCAATATTTGAAAAGAAATTTTTACTTGTTTAACAATTTTTGTTTTATTTTTAACAGTTGATAATTATTCATCTACTTAATTCATTCTCGATTTAATTTAATTTATAAATAATATAAAATAATCGATATCGAAATCTTTGTTAGTTTGTTGAATCGCTTAATTGGTGAAACATTAAACCAGATGGTATTGGCTTGTCCTCGTTTAATGATAGCAAGACCTTCGACTATCGACTGTATTTTTTTCTTACCTTCTTTTTCTCTTTCCAAATTGTTTGATGTAATATAATTAATTCTGTTTCATTCTCTACAATTTTAACTACAAATTATCTCTCTTTTCACACATGCTTTTCATATACATGAGAAACCTTGTCACTAAGGAAAATTGACCCTAGATTCTTCCAATTCTAATAAAAAAAGTAATAATTTATTACCAAACAAATGATTGCTACACTAAAAATAATGTGTTAAACAGATTATTGTTTAATACGAAATTGCAGTTATATTCACCTTCAAAGCTTTTTTAGGGAATGTTGTTGAATGCAATAATATAGTATATTTTGTAGAGAATCGTTTTTCTCTGAAAAATGATGTAAAATTTTTTAATGAATCAAATAAATCACATACACCATGAATTATGACTACAGCGAGCACGCATTCATCCGTGACCAGGGACGAAAATGCTGTTTATCACAATAAGAGAGGATGATAGTACAGGAAAAAAAAAGTCAGTGTACGTAAAAAGCATTTTTTGCAAGGGGTTTAAAGTAATAATATTACTGGGAACAGTTCGCTCAGCGGTAAGAAAACAGTTATACTTTTTTTCGTTTCAACTATTAGCTGATTAAATGTTTTTATATAAGGTGCGCATAATGCAAAATAAAAGCAAATTGTTCTTTCTTCATTTATTATATATCATTGAATAGAACTCATCGAACTAATTAGCAAAATGTATTTTCTCATTTTCAAAGTGTATCTTCTATGTCGAAAACTGGAAAATTACTTGAAAGATGTAAAAAGTCGAAAAATCCTTCAATTTCAAAAAATCTTTAATATCTCGACTCTAGATCGCTTTTGAAGCTTTCAAACAATTGTCGAATTCAGCGTTAAAAGCTGAATAGAAAACTAGTGTTGTTTAATTTTGAAGTTAAAAGCCTGTCGAGCATGGACGTCCGATCATATATATATATATATATAGCCGCATGTTCATCGATATTTTTATGTAGCTGATGAGAAAGTTGGTATAAACTTTATTCTGTCAGAATACAAGCTGAAAAATATTCTATTATAGTATTCTAAACTAGAACTATCGAAGAAAGTTATCAATCGAAAGGTTTCACATTTTAAATAAATGTTAGTTGTTCATCTCGTGCAACTAATTTTGGCTTATTTCCACCTTATATCAGTAAATGAAAATTGGAATTATATGTACATAAATAACTTTTACACAGACTGTGAGACATATAAAACAACGTTGGTAACAATATTCACTTCAAATCGAAGCCAATTTCATAATCAGAGCAGGAAAACACATATGCTAATATTCGTAGAGAACTAATCAAGCGTGAATTTTTTTCTATGTGATATAGACCCCAATTAAAAATATCGCTGAAAAAATTGCACCTGATATTTAGACTTTTTTAAATTTTTGTGACCAAGATCAAGTCTCTGGAGCAGTTAGTAACAACCTTGCACGTAACTAAATCTGTTCCATACAGCTAAAGTGTTTTGAAGTGAAATCAACCCCTAGTGAATGTACTTAACGATAGGTATCCGAGTACTTGCATTTTTCCTAGGTACCTAGGTGGGTACACTACTAAATGACTGGCATAGGTGCTTGAGTTTTTTTCAAGTAAATATTACTTGAGAAGTACTCGATTACTTGAGCTGGACGCAGCATAGGTACCATATTTTTTTCCGTTCATCGTTTTGTTTGATGTTCAGGCATCTATAAAAGAAAGATGTATGTGTGTAAGGAATGCCGTGCGTTTTTATCTTCACACGATCATCTAAAATGGCTGGCTGTTTAGATATCCGCAAAGTAATATTTTAACTTATGACGTTCTTGTACCAGGGTGCCCAACTCGGGTATCTATATTCAAAAATTTTCGAACTCTCGGACAAGTTTTAATTGATTTAGAAAAAGTTCATAAAAAACCTCAATGATTTCTACAAACTGACCAAACCTGAGCTTCTTGTTTCTTAAATTCGTATTGGGTGTATAGAGACCAGACTTCTACTGATCCCATTCAGAAACATAGTGGCGGTAAAGAAAATAAGGAAAAATTTGCAATTTTATACACACGTAATTCGTGTAGCAAAACGTGTTAGACTCGCACATTGTCAAATTGGTCACAACAAGTGTAAATATTAGACAGATGTGAGATTGATTACCTAATTCCTTCTGAATTTCCCCAAAACTGACTACTAATATAGATTAGCATACATGATGCAGCATTACCATCGGTTATTTATAGAACTGATGTGAAAAACGAGATGAAAATAGTAACAGCTATTTTCTTTTATTGTTATTACACATGACCCATCATTAAGAGATCCACATACCATCAGCAAGACGATCCATCAAATAAATGGCTCATGATGCGGGATATCGGACTATACCAGTAACAACAGCGAATGCAAGGAAAACGTATATTCAAAGTGCAGATCGATTTAGTGATCATATATTAGACATAGCAGACGATACGACACAGGTATTTCAGCTATACATTAATATTTTCTAATAGAAATGTTGTTTCAAGTTAGTATGCAGAAACCTAGGATAGATTCTACAATAACTCTTAATGGACAGTGGAGAAAAGTAGAAGTTACTCATTAGATTACTCGTAGCAATATTCTGCATCATAGATTGTTTGCTAATACGCAGAATCAGCAATACTCTATTTGGTAGCTAGAATGTCTTTTGCTCAAAACCATTTTTTTCAATAGCAAGCGTTACTTCACTAACACCCAGCATGAACTCGATCAAAATTCGGTTGTGAATCGCTAAAACATTGCAATTAGTACACTGAGAACACCTAAATCTGGCAAGAGTAACAAACAGAAATTTTATAAAAATATTTTCTTGTGATCAAAACATTTTAAGTTAAGAAAACTTCTATAGTTCAAAATAATAATTGTTTTCATTCTCTACAACCTAGTTTTTCAAATTAGTGTAATAAATACGTCGTTTAAATTTATAGAGGTGAATGAATGCATTCTGTAAAGAACCGAAGAATCTTTCAAGAATAGACGAGATAATTGTTCAGCATTGCTTGCTCGCTAAAAAACAAGTCCCCAGTACTTCAAACCTTTGTTAAGGCGCAGCAAAGCAAGAATTTTTTACCTTAATAACGACTAGTGGAATACGTCCGCCAACTCTATATTACTGCAAAATTACGAATCTACTTGCTATAATAACGCTATGTTCTAGGAGAAGGTTCTATTGTAGAAGATGATTTCGCATAAAAATATGTAATAGTTTTAATATTCTTTTTTAATCTTATACAGATAAGAGAATTTTTATGGTGTTTCTTAAACGTTTTAATTTAAGTGTCGTAAGAGACATGACTGGTCGGGGCTGCCTCAAAAAAGAGTACTAAAGGCACACCATAACTTTGAAAAAAAATTGTCTGCTATGTACAGAGAGTACCAAGACTGTTTGCCAAAGTTCACGCTCACCCTTAATGTTCACTTGTGGCCGACGATAAGATAAACAGATCAGTATGAACCGTTTTTCCATTAGTACGATGTCCATTGTCATCAGTAATGTTATAGTTAGCTCATTGTATTGATATTTGGGTATTCACCCTATAACATGCAACCTCGTAGTTCATTTATAGGCTGAGCCAGGGCAAATAAGTGCTGCTCGTAACATTAAACAAAACAGCGATAGTCATTCAAATGTAGACTATGATTACAGACGAAAACAACGTTCCGTTATTTATGATAGTCCTCAATCGTCACCAAGGGAAAGATTAAGAGTTTCCAGTCTCTTAGAACGCGAAGATCAAATGTCGCCAACAATAACATCGTCAACAATAAAAAAATCAAAAATTGTTAAAAAATCCTATGATGAATATTCAATGGAGTCTTTTGACGAACAACTACCACGAACTCGATCAAAAATTAATGATAGTTCATATAAGCAAGTTGTGAGAAAGAAAAAAAATTATGATGAACATGATGCAAGCAATAATGGTGGTCTGATCTTTCGCTACAGTACTGAAAGAAACATGCCAAAGGATTCAGTTACTGATCATATTTCTGTTTATGGTGATTCTGGTGCGGCAAAATTTGAGCTTTGCCGCGAGGAAGAACAACATACAACAAGGACAATACGTTATTCGGATAATGACCGTATTGGTAGCGATCGAATCATAATAGTACCAGACTCATCAGTACAAGGTAAAAAGAAAAAAATATTCAGAACTAGTATCTACTCTGAGACACAGTCGAATATTCCAACGATGTCCTACAAAATCTATTTTAAAGCTTATGCTTTAAACCTTCTTTTTTGATTGACGAAAGTCGGCGCTCTCTGGCCCCGTTCTAACTACAGTTATTCCAGAAACTGTTTGACAGGTAGTATTAGCATTACTCTTTGACTTGCATATAAAGTATGAATCGATCTTTTTATCTCTTATTCACAAACGTTTTTACCTGACTCACGAGGGAGCCTTTCGAGATGATTAAACGCTTTTTGTTCGGAATCCAGTGGGTTATAGTTATCGACCATGCTGAGTAAGAATTTGATCATGGGGATTGCCCTGAGCCTTTCGAAGATCTGGTTTTCCGGAAAACCAGTTTTTCAGAAACTCCAAAGTATAACGGGAACCTTTCTTAATGAGGCATGATTGTAGCTCGCACATTTCTGATTAAAATGAGGCATCTCCCAGCTTTACACGACCTTTTTTTGCAAAGTTATAGAACTTACAAGAAAAGCCCTAAATGTTCATTGTCAGGCCAAAGCTACAGAAATAAGAAGAAATTAATTTAAGGCTTTTTTTGTCAATTCTGTAACTTTGAAAAGAAAGGTCGTGTAAACCTGGGAGATGCCTCATTTTAATAAAAAATGTGCGGGCTACAATCACGTCCCATTAAGGAAGATTCTCGTTATATTTTAGAGTTTCTGAAAAAACTAGTTTTCCAGAAAACCAGGCCTTCGAAGAGCTAAGAGCAACCCCCTTGGTTAAATTCATAATCAGCATGGTCGATAACCTATAATCCACTAGATTCCGAGCAAAAAGCGTTTAATCATCTTGAAAGGTTCCCTCGGCAGTGGCGAATCTAATACTCGCGTTGTGCTGTTTAGATGCTGATGAGCGAAAACACGAAACAGTAATATATACGGAAAAGGCTGAGACACCGACGGCGCCACGTGATGATATAGCAAAAGTTGATTTGGAGACTTTATACATAGTTGAACGAAGGATTCAACTGCCGCGAGAACGATCGCCAGAGCGTATGCAGACACCACCTATTGATCGGCATGTTCCTGAAACAATAATAGAAAAGCGAGAAGAACGAATACCAGGTGAAACAATTCGTATTGAAGAAAAACGGGTTGATCAGTATGATGGTAAACGATATGATGGTGGTGAACAATATGCTCGTCAACAGTACTGTCGTCAACGTTATGGTGGTCAACAGCGTTATAATCAACAGTATGGTGGCCAAGTGTATGGTGGTAAACAATATGATCTTACTCGTTTGCCACACGATTTAAACTATTGGAATATTATGAATATAGCTAACCGTGAAGTACGATGCGGTCGAGCAGTGGATGATTCAATCTTGCCACCCATACCGCCATTAACAGGCAGAGAGTGTCGTCTAACAGCTACACAAATTCTTTCCCCACAATATAATTCACGCAGTCATACGGACAATGCATTACGCCAGTTTCTTACTCACAATCAACGTGCACAAAATGAATCAAGAAGATATTTAGAATCACTTGGAGTTGAGAGTAACAGACATGTTGTGAGACCACGCAAACAACCAGAAAGACGTTTTTCCACTGAGACATTAGTACGTTATGAAAAACTGCCTGATCGTGTTAGATCAGTTGTTCAAACAGTTCATCGATAACAAACCCGATTGGTATCGTCACAGCCAACTACAACACCCTGTTCCACTATCACCACAGTTACAACCGTTTCTCGGTATAGACCACGGCAACATTTCCTATTAGAGAGTAATAACCGTACACTACCGATTGCTTATAATAATTGTTCTCATCGTAAAAATAAACAATTACGATACCAAATGCATGATCTGTTTTATCATCAGCCACTTGGCGAACAATTTTCTTTCCAATACTTTTGCTTAGTACGCTTTATGAGACCGACATAATTGACAAGGTTCCACAAAACCGTCTTAAGTAAATAGAAATTATAAATTTTTTGACATTTACTTTTCATTTAGAATAGTAAATACTAATAATATTCTGTCATATTAATATTATTAGTAATATTCTATCATTATCTGATTGTAATCTTATTGGAGAAAGTTAATTTTCTCTTATTTCGGCAATAATTCAGCCAGAACACGTTATTTGGAGAAAAAATGTTAAAAAGTCTTTAACGTTAGTTGATGTTGTTATGCTTGGAATTGTATCGCACATGCCATATTAGGCATCGCACTAGAGCTCTTTTAGAAACAGGGTACACGGAACGAATTAAGCTTATGCCCCGACACAGAATAAATTTATTTACCCATAACTTTTAGAATCTGGAAAACTTTCATCCGCTCTAGTTTTTGTTTATAAGCCTCTTCAAAGTTCCACGATGAATTTTGTACTGTCATAATATCTCCGTTGCGAATATTGTAACTTGAATTGCATGTTGAAAGACAGAATTCCTCACCCATTTGTGTGACAACCTGATCAAGTGCCGGCGTGTGAACTCTGATGGTGTCGGATGATACGACTTTGAAGTGATACATTGATATTTGGATGAATTCTGTACGATTGGGACAGATCATATTACTATTCATATATTCTAAACGGAGCCCAGAGTTGTAACTGGACCGGCCCAATCCTTTCCGTAAAAGTTTAGACCGGCCGGTCTAGAAAGATTTTCAAACCCGTTGGTGATTGACCGGTTTTTTATCGGTTTTGAAATTCTTAGCATTTTACTCTTCTTCACTAAAAAAAATGAGTTTTAACTTGTTAGACCTTGTTTGATGAATATCACGGCTTTCTTAAGTAACAGAGAGCCTTTCGTTCAGAAGTGAACATACAAACATAGAGAAGCAAAAATATTAAAAGAATTTTGAAAATTCATTGAATAGAACGGTCTTTATACGCAGAGCAGTAAAGGTACAATGCCATTGCAATTCACTCATATATACACACTTTAAAACTGCAACTTTAATAGAAAAGTGCATTCTATTTTGAAATGGACAGTACTCAGTATCGAATGATTCTTTTCTGCTTCTTAAACAGAGAATGAAAATTTTGTTGATGACATTGTGAATGAAAACCTCTTTAAGACATTTGCACAATCCTATAGTTGGACAACTACTATTACATGTTATACAAAATACATGTTTATTTCGTATACTAAATCAAATATTTCGCCAAGAAAACGTATCAGCAATGTTTAATTTATGATATTTTATCAAAGATTTATATTCACAATTAAAAGAACTACATTTTCAATGTGTAAAATCATTATCTGAGGAAACCAAAGGAAGACAGACAATTGTAATTAAGCAGTTACAACAACCAAAGGAAAACATAAATAGTATTATTCTTCCTCAAACACGATACATTCCAATGGTTCAGTACCAACATTTGTGATATTTGCTGATAATACAACTAACTAACTCTGAATTTTCTCAATAAGTAGTTTTGCTTCATATATATTTCCAGTTCTGATACAGTTGCATATTTGTGTCATTGAACACACAATATTCAGAATGCGTTCATCATTTTCTTGTTCCATAATGGTCAGATTGTGGTGCTGCAGTATGTTTTAAGATGAACTCGACGCTTAAGAATTATACAGGATCTCTAAGTGCGTAAGTAAGTTCCGTCGATTAAATAGAAATCACCCTTTTGCATCTAGCCACTTCATTTATATTATTCATGCTAGTTGTTACTAAAGGATAGAACTATTAAAGTGTTTTAGAGATGTTCGGTGTATATATTCTAAACTGTGCTGAAAGAAACGTTACAGACAGTTTGAAAGACTACAGGCCTGGTAATGGCAAATCCATGTTTAGAAGGCTTGAGCTTTTCTGTAACTAAAACTGATTGTAAAATATATTTATTCGGGAGTGCATCCCATCAACGAACACACGTTAAAACTCTTATATTTCATTAAAAATAAATCCAAAAAAAAAAGACATTTGTTAACAGAGAGAGTAGAAAACAAAGCAAAAGGAATTTCAGTATCACGATGAGCGACGAGTGGACGATTGTGTTGTATATAAAGTGTTGTGCGTCAAATTAATATCGCTACACCATTTTCTGCATTTCTCCCCAATCATTTTAATAAACGTCGGTAATTGTTACTACCCATGCAATATACGAAAACGAAAAAACCGTCATATAAAACCTACTTGGCTTTAACAATTGTGTCCAGAGATGGTGTGTTTTAATATCTCTTCGTAGATGGTCGTCCACAACGATGGCAAATAAAGTAAATACAACAAACATAGCACTTGTATTATTTTGATGATAACTAGTGCTGCAAATAAGATGTAAGATATGCAGTTCCAGCATATTATATAAAAACAATTCATGAAGAGTGGATCCACATCAAAAAATAATTATACATGTCACATTTATTGAGTTGGAAAATAATAATATACGAAAATTAAAACGTATTTTTTATTTTCTTCAAGAATGTTGCATTATTCTGTTTTCTTTTCAGGCGTTGTCGAGGTTGTAAACGAGAATCAATCTATCGTCGAAAGTAACAGACATAAACAAGCATACTATAGTTATTCACTTTTGCCACTATATCTTCTTTTTGATAACATCTAGATTTGTCTTTTCATTTCATCTTCATTTGTATTCCTGCTTACTTTTCCTGTTTTTCCCTCATTTTTGATTTAAAAGAAAATCAGTCATACTTTCAAACAGTCAGTCACGATATAGAAAATTGTTAGTCTCAGTCAAGTCTCAATCTCGAAAAGAAAAACCATCAGTCGTGACTCAGTCTCATTCATGACTTAAACTTATCCGTCTCTGGTGGAAAATATACAGGAACTAGAAACAAATAAAATAAATGGGATAGAATGTAATACTTCTTGGATTTTCTACTACCAACACAGATTGGTTAGTACATGATACCAGGATCCGATGTGAAATTTGTATGTGAAATTTTCATCTGTATCCAGAAACACACTAAAAACATAAAGGGCATACTGATGACGATATTTTCTTCATTTATTCATTAATAATAAACCTATTCCAACGTTTTGAGCTTGGATCTGTATATAATAGACCTGTTGCACCAGGAAACGTTACACTCAAATATGGTCTTGAAATATTGTTATTAGAGTCAACAATTAAATTAATAATCCGCTTATTTCTGTGGTCTAAGACTTGAACTGTTGTCATTATATTGTTAAGCAATTGTAAACACAATTCAAATCATCAACTAGGTGATTTTTCTGCACTGCACATCGACAAAAATCTGAGAAAAACAGGATGAAAATCGAACTTCCAACAGTCTAGAAAATTCAGCTCCATTTTCAAAAAGTTGGAAAATCGAACTGTATTTCCCAACAACCTGGAAAATCGATGTCGATTTTCCACATTCTTGAAAATTCGATTTTGTATAATCTGGAAAATCCATGCGGAATTCGTATATGGACTTCTTCAAAATCGCCGACCACTTTAATAATTTCCGACTTTACACTGTAGATGTCAGATGGTACAACCACTGCTGTGTTTAAAGCAATGAAAGAGTCGCTATGAGCCATAAAAAATGAATTTTTCTAAAAGAGTGCAAAAATTCTAAACACATATCACCGACAGAGAAAAAACGTTTATGCAGAGTCCTGGAAAAGTGTTTTTTTGTATTCATCATACTGGGATATCCTGTCTGTATAAATCCAGTCTCATAAATCACACGTTTATGAAACTTGGAAACAAGTTTCATAAATGTGTGATTTATGAGAAGAAAAATTTTAAAATTAATATTATTTTCCCGCAGAAACTTTTTCTAGCCATTTAGTTCAAAAACTTTCTCCTAAACTTATGGCAATACGTCTTGCCGAAAATAGAAAATCTTGTTGGTTATCGATTGTACTGAATAAGAAAAGCTACTTCTCCCCGACTCTGTATGACCCTTATTTGTTCTTCATATCGACGATATGAAAACTGTATCCGTCAAACTTTTGCGAATGCGTTTTCGTATTTTTTTTAGTTTAAAGGTATAAATAACAGCTAATAATGCTGTGTGTTTCAAGAGCGACGTGTTTTCATAAGTTTGGAGCCACTGTCAACATGAAAACTGAAGTGATGTAATGGATTTCTACTACAAAAAGGAGAAAATAATATGAGAGATAAGAGAAGAAGAGATGCGAACCTATAGAATAAATGAATGTTTATGATCTAATTTACGTATAATATCAGCATAGAACATAGGACGTTGACGTGATTGCACTGTATCAGCTTTGCACACACGAATATTTTTTCATATTCAAAATTATGTTCCACATCGATAAACAGAATATGAAATAAAGCTACATAACTAGAACTGGCCCATTTTTGACATACACACAGTATTAGCCAAGATAAATGAATGCAAACAAATTATGTTTTAACGAGCTCGTTATTTTACTGTACAAACATACCGATTAGAGTGCTGCGGGGCTGACTATTTGATTCCGAAATTTGTTTTTCAATTTATGTCGTCTGTATGTGACGGTTTTGTGAAACGTTGACAGGGAACGAAATCATGTATAGTACTGACATGAAAGAGTGCACCTTACGAATAGCTAAACGGCTTTTAACTGTGTCTTCGAAATCTCCAAAAATAGAATACAGCCATCAAGGCTGATTTCACATAACACATATACTATCCATTTCAATGCACTCGGTTGTAAGTTGAATAACTCCAGAACGAAAGCAGCTGGAGACTTGCGGTTTTCAGCATTCGAAAGTGAGTCATATTTTTTTATATGGAAATCTCAAATCTGATTAACCAATCAGGGGAATTCTTGATGAACATTTTAAAAACAATATTCCAAAGGCATCAAATGAAGATTAAAGACGTGTTATTTGACGCAGTTTTGTATGCTGATTCCGAATATACACTTTGTTCGACGATTTGACTTCGATGAAGGGTCGAAAACCCTCCCAAAATCACTGAAAATACCGTTTGGGGCTCTCGGGAAAATGCATATAACTCCTGAACAAAATCCGCTAGCGGGCTAGGTCTTACGCAGATCGAAATAGAACAATTTTCTCTATCGAATGGTTATGTGAAAATCCTAAATCCAATGGCAAATGCCTTCGGAATATTGTTTTTAAAATGTTCATCAAGAATTCCCCTAATTGGTCAACGTTGACCAATCAGATTTCAGATTTTCATATAAAAAAAATATGACTCTCTTTCGAATGCTGAAAACCGCAAGTCTCCAGCTGCTTTCGTTCTGGAATTATTCAACTTACAGTTTATTGAAATGGATAGTAGTTTACGCGAATACAAGAGAAAAATTTATAAAGAATGAGTAAACAATAACTCTACCCTTGTACAATTCTCTTTCTAATATTAAACTGTCTGACTTAATCCGTCGATAGATAAATATATAATATAAAGAAACCTTGTGTTGGTAAATATTTTAAGTATGTTTTTTATTTCACTTGGAGTATCTTCGATTTTCGTACGAATAAGTACATTTTGGTTCTATTCTATTCTTGGAGAGAGAGAGAGAGAGAGAGAGAGAGAGAAAATGAATAGATCATGTAAAAGAAAAACAAAGAAAAAGAAAAAGAATTAAAAGGAAAAAGAAAAGAAAAATACGTGAGTAACAATGAAGAAAAGTCATACTAAAATGTTAAAGCTGCAGTGGGCAGCGAAATATGAAACAGAATTTTAACTATTATTATATATATTTTATTATGTTCATTGAAGAAGACTTCAATAAAAGAGGTCGAAACGTTTATTTTGTTAAAGATTATTAAATATTTTTTAAAAGCTCCCATTTAAATGCTAAGTAGTTTTTTTTAAATGCTATGTAACAAGTTATTTTATTCTAAGTAATATTCAAAGTAATTTATTAAAAATAATTATATTTTTTGCAGAAATATGATTTCGTGACTCACTCTCATGCTCTCCACGCACCTATCCCCACAACCGCCCCTGGGCACATAAAAAGATAGCTTACTAAAGTAGGAATTAACAAAGATTAATTAGCATTTAATAAAACTACTTAGCAAAAAAATAGTTTTCTTTTTTAAATATGTTTAAATGAAAAAACGGAATTATATAATATCGACCTCTAACTCAAATAATCTATCTATTTCGTAATGGCCAATTGTAAATTTCAACATAAAGACAGATAATCTGTCTCTAGGCTGCGTGCAAGAAAAAAATGGATGTTGAGAATCAAGATTTTGAGTCTGTAGACAAAATAGCAAATAATTCAGTTGAGAGTGTAACAAGCTACAACATTTTTGAGCTTTTAATGTTTTTAATATTTGTTTAGTATGTTTAATATTTATTCCTTGCAAAAAATAAGAGTACAAGAATATAGTTAACATTTGAAGTTATTAGAGTAGTAAAAAAAAATCACTGGTAGTGTTCTTCAAAATTCTTGTACTTGAATTTCTTTTGTATTGAATGTGCAATAGAAGACTTTTTTCCTTTTCTATCGTGTTGGCATGAATACTAATTTAACAAAATACACAATGAGAAAATAGAAAAAATTTCCATTGTTCACTTTTTTTTGTCTTTTTTTCATTGTTCTTTGTTTTTTTTTCTATGACCACGAATTTAGTCGAAAATGAGCAAGTTTCACACCTATAATCCGAGTGCAGATATTTATCGAATATTCGATCATCATGAACGTCAGTTACGAGATCGACACAAAAATTTGATCGACGTCTTGTATGAATGGCAAACTCGACTAATTACTACAGTTGAACAGCATGTTAAAGAAAAGATGAATGAACTGGGGGCGCAATATAATCGCACGCTAAATAAGATGTTTGAACAACGAACAGAGTTTCTTAATAAAGCCGATATTTATCATCTGAATAAAAATGATAAAGACATAAAAAATTTGGTGAATCAATGTGAACTTTTAAAATTTGAATTAGCCGAGCTAACATATAAGCACCGTGACTCGTTATTTCCAAGTATACAAGTGATAAAAACCGAACCTGTCGAACAGAAGAATATCTCAGCTTTTGTTACAGAATCTGTTGATTCTAATAGACCTATGACACCTACAATCACTGATAAAAGACCGTCTTCAGTCACTGATAAAAGACCGTCTTCAGGCACTGATAAAAGACTGTCTTCATCGATGTCGAGAAAAGAAGAAAATGTGACAGAAAAACCGCAATCCGATTTTATCGTCAATGATAACGAACAAGTAGGAACAACGATTGATCAAGGAAACGTTGATTCTCGTGGCTATACTACTGGTGAGTTTAGTTCGAGTCGACCGGCATCGGCTACAACTACTGGTAAACACAGCCGACAATCGTCATCGAAATCAAGAAAAGATGAAAATATGCTAACAATCCCTACAGAATTACATCAATCGGATTTGAATGATGCTGAGAATCCTGAGATAACAACAACTAACGAAATACAGTTGAATGGAAAAATGAATGATGATATCGAGGAAAAACAGTGAACATAATTTTAATGTTGTTGTACCGATTGATCTGTATCTCTTTTTTAGTCTTTTTTGCTTATTACCTCGTGATCAATACAACATGGAAACATGAAGAGAGAGAATTTTATTTTATCAAACTGGAGTACAATATTCTTTTGATCAACTTTCATTAAAATGAGCAGCACATATGAGTTTTTTTCTTGTTCTGTTGGCATGAATTTGAGTTCCACGATATGACAAAGAAAGTCAAAATAGAAAGAAAAAAAGCTCAGCACGGAGGAATACAAAACTGCTGTATTCCTCTTATAGTTCTGAAAAGAAGAAAAGGGATTTACTATTGTCGGAAAAAAAAGGAATAGGCTCGGATGTTTCTTGAATAATCTTTGATAGGAAAGTGGTAGATGCTTGCGGTCTTCACCAATTGGTAGCCAAGAGCTGACTGTACCTTTTCACCACGAAAGCTATTTTTAATCTTTTTTTAAAGTAGGTTTCATAGAGGACCTTTGAACAACTATGCCATAGTCCAAAAACTTGAAATACAAATAGTTTGATTTTTTTTCAAGGATAGATAGTCCATAGTGTCTTCTTCAAAATGGGAATCAAGCGAGACTCCCTTCTTTGATCATTTATGCCTGGCATCGAATTTCCTAGGAGCTCCAGGACTGCTCTTTTTTGCCTGTTAGGACCTCAGAGATGACTCTGGATAGAGGTTATTCACCACGCTGAATATCTGCTGACAATTGAATTTTACAAAAACCAAGATTGTAATGTTATTTTCACCTAATATCGAAATATTTACAATTAACTCAAAGAGCAACCGGACTACCTCCAAACTTCAGAATGTAGAGTATTTGTGCTATTCTACATCGTAGTTATTAAAAACCTAGAAAAACAGCTTTACAAAACTCGATGGCTTTAAGAAGGCATTTCTGTAAAACGTTCGAGCAAAAATATGGTTTTCGACTTTTTCGATGGTATAATCAGGTTAAGATCATTTGATTTAAGCATTAGTCTTGAACAAAAACAAAATCGAGACTATATATTCCCATTATATTATTCTGAAACTTAAAATAACGAACCAAGACTGTTCCAATAAAGTCTCTGCTTTATTGTGCACAACAAGAAGATTATAACAGAATGTACGAGAAAATACAGAGCGATAAACCGGTTTCACAAATTTGTTCTTTTGCTTATGAAAATATAGATTAAAGTATCCTTTTTCGAATGACGAAACACAAGTCTCTATCTTTTATCATCGCTGAGTTATTCAAAAAACAACTACTGGTCTTATATTTTGCGATGGATAGTAAGAGTTTTTAAAAACCTTGCCACAGATTGTGGCTCAACGAAGCACGATGGAGAAAAGTTTTTGCCGACACATCTCTTCCTTAAGTGCCAAATGGGATACTAAGCGTAACAAATTTTTCAGTGTAACGGACAAATTTTGCGAAAAATTGAATTTTACGTTTTTTAATAATTTTAAATTCTTAAATTTAATTTTTCTTAAAATTTTTCCATCACAGTGGAAAGTTGTTACGCTTAGTTTGGCACTTGAGAAAGAGGTTTGTCAGCAAAAATTTCTCTCAATCCTGCTTCGGTGAGTCACAATTAGTGGTAAGGTTCTTAAAAAATACTAGTTTTCTGAAAAATCGACCATTCAAGAAAAAATAAAATTTTTGTAAATCGATATTACGCTGACAAGTTTTTTCACTGCAGTTAGGTAACTTTTAGCGCTGATCGTTAGTACACATACAACTAGACTGATGGCGGTCTAAATAATCCGGTCAGACTGTGAAAGTCGAATTGTGAAATACAATGTGATGATTTAGGTTTCAATTGATAGTGGAAAGATAACATTGAAACAATTACCATTAATTTGGATGTCATTTGGTTTTCTAATGTTTATCACTTTATTTCTGTTTCTGGACTGGAAATTTGTCGTACTGTACTAAAAATTCTCTAACCGACGTGTGCCACAGCTGAAAACAGTCTCATCAAATACAGTTTGACAAGCTGAATACAAATATATGTTCAGATCTTTTGTACGATCTATTGTTTCGGAGGAAACTACAATATTATTGTTTCACTTGTTAAGCTACGCTGAAGACTATAGTAAAGATAGTAAAGAACATAAAAATTATTATTTTCACCAAATATTCTCTGTCGAACATGTGTCTGCAAGGAAAAACAGTGTGTCATGTACAACTCGACGAGATCTATCCAAACACATCTTGAGCGCATTTACTTAAATTTTACTGAAAACCTATACAAAAAAAGCGTTTATTGACTTTCGGGCTGTTTCTATAGCAAATGTTCGACTGGCCTATGGGAAAATGCACACTTTGCAGCGGTTTTTAAAAATTCCGCAGAATAACAGCGGTTTCCTTATGAAAAACGAGACATAGGTTGCCCAACGGAAAAAAAAGCCGGAAAAACCATTCTCCGCTGGAAACATGAAAGTAAGTCAGGTCTCAGTCATTATGGCTACTTCGAGTTTGTAAGGTGCGAGAAGCGTCACTTTCTGGTGGAATGTTTGGTACATAATTCTATGCAAAGGAAATAAGTTTGAAGTCTTGTAATAACCGAAAAATAACCTTTAGACAGTATAACTTTTCAGTCATCTTTGCAAAATATTTATTTTGTTTCTATAACTCGAAGCCTATTCATAAATTCATAAATACATTCATAAATTACATTCTTACCTGTCTGATCGAATTCCAGATTTCGCTAGGGAAAAGTGGGATCGGCATATGCATGCATCTCAGTTCATAACATATATCACAACAGAGAAAGGAATAAAATGTATTTTTCTCAGCTAATTTCAATCGAGTAAATGCGCTCAAGATATGTTTGGATAGATCTCGTCGAGTTGTACATGACACACTGTTTTTCCTTGCAGACACATGTTCGACAGAGAATATTTGGTGAAAATAATAATTTTTATGTTCTTTACTATCTTTACTATAGTCTTCAGCGTAGCTTAACAAGTGAAACAATAATATTGTAGTTTCCTCCGAAACAATAGATCGTACAAAAGATCTGAACATATATTTGTATTCAGCTTGTCAAACTGTATTTGATGAGACTGTTTTCAGCCATGTCACACGTCGGGTAGAGAATCTTTAGTACAGTTTGATAGTACTAGTTTTCGAAATATTTTTCAGTTTTCAGATTTGCAGAAGCCGCTCAGGTAACATAAAGTATATCATTCGATAGAGCTCGCCGAAATCTATAAGACTATCAGTGACAGAAGAATATCACTGACACAGTCCAGTGAGAGAATATTTCCCAAGAATACTAGTTTGTCAAATATGTTCCTGTAGAAAATATTACTGTTTGTTCAGTAACTGTATCCCACGGAAGGATCTATTTATTCCTAGTAGTGCAATTATACAGAGCTCACCGAGTTCTCTGTGACACACGCAATAGCTTTTACAGGTTTATGTGAGAATGTTTCCTAAAATTATTAGAATATCAAACTAACTTATCCTACTTGTAAGAATCGTAACTAACGAAGAACATAATAGGTTGATTGGTCTAGAATGAAGATGACAGTGAAAATGGATCTGCCTTTCACTATGTTCGTAGTCATAATCACTTTGCATGGTTTTTTTGTTAAGTATGCCTTTTCTCTTTTCACGTTCGATATCACGTTTTTTTACATCTACGGTTTTTTTATTTTTTCAATAGTGAATGTAATCGCCTTCAAAGAATGCTGAATCTTTCTTTCTTTTTTGGTTTTAATGAATTCACATAGTATCAATCTAAATTTATTATTATATGTAGTTAAATAAATCAAATATTTTCTGTTCGTTCCAACATATTGAACTTTAAGTACTTTCAAATGATATCCAGGCCTAAGAAGTACTTCTTCTTCAAGCGGTTAAAGTGATAACTAGGCATGCACCTGTTGCTGTTATAACAGATACAACAGAAACAGTTATAACAGGAATATTCGTAACAGAAACAGTTGACAACAGCAACAGATTATAACAGTAGCAGTTCGTAACAGTGACAGTTACAACAGGAAGAGATATTGTTATAACAGCAACAGTTAGAACAGCTGACCTTTTGTGACAAAAGAGTGAAATCTTTTGGCTACCCTATGACTGTCTGGAAAGTGCTTAATTACTGTCTATGTATCTATTATATATATATGATGCGTCGAAAGAGCTACGTCGGAAACAAAAGAAGAAAAGAGAAATTCTCTGAGGACTGTAGCGAAAGAAACACATACACGAAATTATGAAATAATGTGCATTCCATCTCAGTCTGG